GATCCTATAGCCTGTGTCTGTGGAAGTTTGTTGATTCTTAGCCAGTTCTGATACCCTCGAGTTCTGCTCAGTGTGCAAGCCGGATTTACTATCTTTTACCTCTACTTCTTTTATCTTTCAGAAACATTGGAATTAGATCTTTAATGGTTTTACTATGTCTCTTTTCAAAGAAGTTTGAGATAAAGATGAGCTAAAAATGTTACTTGTTATTTTAGTGCCCACATTTTGGGGGATACTTTTTAATGTCTCTTAATTTAAGCAGTGCTAGGGCAGTTGTTGGATACTAGTGTTCAATAATGGTGGGATGTGGTTTAACTTAGAAACTCCAGTATTCCATTTGGCAAAACATGAAAATATAACCCTCATTCCCAGTGGTTCAAAGTAACCTCATTTCTGTCATCCAGGATTTATTTAAGCAGCCAAAAGTAAGTAAGTAGCATAAAACAGTTGTTCATTTAATTGAACCTAGTCAGTCAATTACATGTAATCAAGTTAGGACAGAAATGAACTCACATTATGCAAGTAAAATCTCTAACTAAAAGTAATACAGTCATGTGAAGATAATATGCAGATAAAACTTGCCTTTAATCCTTCCTACTCAGAGCATTTTATGGATTTCCTGTCACCAGTTATCCCACTTTACAACAATCTTAAAGCAAATTTCCCTCTTCTTACTGGAATTTAGGCTTGTCGTTTGAGAAATTTTAAACTAGGTCATTGTTTGTTGGTTTTTATTTAATGACCTCTTCATTCATCTGCAACATTAGCAAAGTTTTCATTGCAGAACCGAGTCACAGTCTGTTGTACTCTTAGGGGACTTTTATTCTAAATAAATACAAAGGGAACATTTCAAATACAGCTTTGTAGGCTTATGAAACATAGATAAAAAAATGGCCACATCCAATCTCCACAGTTTTTGAGCCATTCTTCCATATCATGTGGTAACAGAATATACAGAGTCCTAGATGTTGGGGATAAATAATATGGCATGCAGGTGTACACATTGCCTTTTTATGAGACTTCAATCTGTGCCTCACTTTCTTTGCCTTCATGTGATAACTATTGGAATTTCATTTGAAATTCACCCTAGGATTTTGGATACTTCATGCAGCGTTTAGTACACAGTTTGTTAGGCACGCTGACTTTAAAAAAAAATAAAAAAAAACCTTGAGCAGAAATGCAAGATTTTTATTAAGATATCTCTTTAATGGTGCTATCAATAACCTTATGTGCATTGAAATATGTTTAATATTTGGATATCAGTCTATAGCCTCCTTTTTATCAGATTTTTGATTGATTGATTTTTCAATAAAATCAAAAGGAATTTGGAAAAGGAAGGAAATATAAAACAGTGCATGTTAAATACTAACAACAAAACTTGTTTATCTGCTAAAATTTTTGCATGTATTATACTTATCAAATGTTGCAAATAAAACATATACGATTATGACATATATGTTATGAATGTTTATCTTTAAACAGTTTAAAGAATGGAGATTCCTCCTCTCTGGAGTAGGACTACTTCCCCAGCCTCTAGAAATAGAAAGAACAACCACATATGTTCATCTTCAAGCATTTATTGTTATAGCTTTCAAAAATCCCACCAAGGAAGATGTTTTACTCAATATTATACTAACGAGTAAGTTGTTTTTCTTACATTTTACCTGTTATTTTGTAATTATTAATCAAACTTACTTTATCATAAAATCAATGTGTTTTAGAGATAGTGGTCACTTTAGGACTCCATTAACTCAACAGCATCATTTTATAAAAGATGAGATACCTTGGCTGAAATCATAGCTTGTAAATGGTGGAGCCAGAATCAGAAATTAGAAATTTATGTACCAAGTCAAGTTCTTCTAATTTTAATCTGTAGAGCCAAATATGTAAATTAGTAAATTTGTAATATTCTTGTGATTATTATTCAAATATGCCAATGCCTTAAGGAGTGTAGTCAATAATATTGTGATAGCATCGTCTGGTGTCAGATGGTTGCTGGATTTATCATGGCGATTACTTCCTTAGGTATATAAATGTCGAATAACTGTGGTGTTTACCTGAAACTAATACAATATTGTATGTTAGCTATATTTTAATAAAAATCTTTAAGAAAAAACTAATATGCCAATGTTTATTCCTTAAAAGTTTATAGAAATTCTGGTGTTCTGATATTGTTTCCTTTCTCCATTTTCTTTATAAATCTCATATTTGGATTTAATTTTGGCTCTAATCAAGCTTTGTCCTTTTTTGTTTCATATTGAAGATGCATGTTTTTAAATTACATTGTGTGGAGTTTTTGATCACTTCTTATTAAATGACCAAATAATGTGGATCTGGAATAAAAATCAACTAATTCTGAGTTTCATGAAACACATTTTAAATCTAATATTGGACATTACTAATTTTATCTTTTCAACTATTATTCCCACTTCTACTAAAACTACTGCTATTACTGTGATCCATTTTATATAGTTCAAATGTTGGGCTAAAAGGGATACATGTGGTAAGGTTTTTGATATAAATAACTAATTTACTCTCTAGAATGGTTGTACTGTTGCAGTTCGTGCTACCATCAGGAGTATATTACAGACATTGCCTATTTTCCTGAGCCTTGTAAGCCCTGACCATTAGCATTCTCCTTAATCTCCATCGATCTTATTGGAGAAAAATAGTATTTTATCATCATTGCAAAATAATTATTTTTTGATTAATGCTGAAGCTTAACACTATTATTTACCTATTGGAGTATAGAGATAGATTAGATAGATAGATAATAGGTATATAGGTAAAGATATCTTTCAAAATTCACTATTTTTTCAAGAAGGCAACATTTTTCAAGTTGCAAACTTATGATCAAACTTTTTTAATTTTTCCTTTTTTGTTTTTTTTTTCTTTTTGTGTGTTCTTTTTGTTTTTTGATCAAATTTTTATATTGCCCAGTTCTCTAATGTCTTTTTGTCTGCTTATATCTTGGCTATTTCCATTTTAATCACTTCTCTCAGAAATATCGCCCTTTGATTTTCAAAGAATCTTTTAATTCTATTTAATTAAATTCTATTCAATTATTTAATTCTATTGTGCATTGTCTTTGCATAAAGTTTTTTCAGGTGAACATTATGTAAAACAAGGTGTTGAAAAGATTATATTTCAGCACTCTATTCTTATCTTAATCTATGCCAACTTCAAAGGGTGAATGAGATAGGGTGGCTAGAGAAGAGGTGGCCTAACAACTGGAGAACAGTAGAAATGCCCCATAGCAGACCATGAATGAGTGCCAAGAGGAGCAGATTGCTATAGAAAAGCTCTCAAATAGCCTAGGAAGCTAGGATTTGTTTTGCACCCAATATATACCACACCTAACCTATATACACATGACTATACCCAATCTTTAAAAAAAATCCTAGAGACATTCCAAATATGGAACCTGAGGTTTAAAAATTTCCCAAAGCCATACAATGAATACGTGATGGAACGGGATCTTGAACTCATCATGTCTAGCTGTCTTCTCCAGGGCCACCAAACTGTCATTCTAAGTTGTCTGTCTGATCCACACATACTTAGATTTTCCACCTTGACCTTGTTGTTCACCCTAGATGTGTACACTTCCTCACTGACTGGTATCCTTGAACTCATTTCCCATGATCCTCTCTCATCAGTAATTACGCCCTCCACCCCAGACCTCTGCTCTCAAGTTTCCAATCTACTTTGCCAGAAATAAGAGTGGAAAAAGGGAAGGTAGCCATGAATGGGAAGCTAAGATCTGAGTTAAAACATTAGAAATTAGGGCCTCATGTATACATTAAGAATTTAAGGACAGATCTCCATTATATTGTATGTGTGTTCCCTTGCTCACATACCCATATTACAAACTTGCTAATTTGTGTGCTTGTCAATGTCAGGGGTTGCATTAATTCATAGCTTTATTCCTGCCTAAATGAGTATTTCAGTATTGGCATGTATGTTGATAAACCAGGGGTTGAGTATTCAGTCCCTGACTATTTAATGAGCATCTATTGTGCTGAAAACTGTTGTATACACATTTCAAAACTACTTCATATTTGTAATATACATACATACACACATTGTATTTTGATTTTTATGTGGTATTCTACATGTGAGATATCACTATGCATTATATACCTAAAAGTTGATACATGCAAAGTAGCTTGATTACTTTTCTACTAAAGTAGCTATACTCTTGAGATTATTTAATCTTTTACTTAATCCAAATTTAAATATGATATTAGTTATTTGATTTAAATGTTTAAATATAGTAGGTTCTTTTCCAGACATCAGTAGTTTTATTGAAGAACAAATAACAGTAAGGTTAAATGCGTGCATAACAATAAATATATTAGTTTTACAAATATCAGCTTCCATTTTGAGGATCGATAAATGTAAACAAAATACTGTGTTGAGTTGTTGTTAACTCAGTTAATTATGATCATGGTGTTCACTAGCAGTAAAGTAATGAAACTCACAATATAGCATCGTTATAAGTTAATAGCATCTACAGGACATGGAGAGGCACTACTTAGTGCGTTTGAATTCACACATTAAAATTAGTTTATGAAAATCTTGTCCCTGGAGGCCCTCTTAATTTTACCTAACGTACCTCCAGCATTGAATAAATATTGATATTAAATGTAGCAGTAATTGTAAATTGCTAATCAGGGCTTGCAGAACTTTATACATAAGAAAAGAAATAGATGTAAGAAAAGGTCCTACACTCTCAAAATCTCTCCCAAAATCAGACAATCAGCTATTTCAATATTTGAATTAATAAATAAACAGTATTGGGAGATTGGAGATTGGTTAGCAGGGAAGTTGGAGTTTCAAATATGTAACAGTCTCTTTGTACCTTAGTTTGTCTTTTTTCCAACCTGGGACCTAATCAAGGATTATACATTGCATTTGGTTTTCAGATCTCTTAATTCTCATTTAATCTAAAAATCCCCTTCTGCATTGTACTGTCTTTTATGATATTGGCATTTTGAAGAGTCCAAGCCAGTTGTCTTGTAGAATATCGCACTTTGTGGATTTCTTTGATTATTTCTTTATTATTCAATTCAAATTAAACATTTTGGTAAGAATATCACATAGAGGATACTGTATTCTTCTATTGCAACTCATCAGGAGACACCAAATGTTAGTCCCCTTACTGGGGATGCTAAGTTTAATCACTTGGTTAAGGTCATGTCTGCCAGGTCTTTATACTATAAGAGTCATCTTTTCCCCTTATAACCAATAATTAATTTGGAAGTGATAATTTGAGACAACGTGAATAACCTCCTCCGTTACAACCTTTCTTTGATGGTTTTAGTATCCTTTCAGTTTCTCTACCAGTATCAATTATTGTGTGTCATCCTTTCTGTTTTTATTAGCTTGGATGTGTGTGTGTGTGTGTGTGTGTGTGTGTGTGTATGTGTGTGTGTGTATATATATAAAATACATATTAATATTTTATATTGCATATAGAGAGAGAGAGCTTTTTCTTTCCTTTTCCCCTCCCCCCAACTCCTTTTTTTCTTTGAGAATGATTATAGACTTACGTATCTTATCTAATCTTTTACATCTCAGCTTTTATTGTTTTTAAATACCCATCACATTATCACATTTAATCATAGAGCATTCAATGCATAAAAATGTGTGGGGATCAAAATTCAAAATACACAAGCTGTGTGACCTTGGGCAAGAAACTTCTGTTTTTTGGGCTTCTGTGTCTCCTAACACACTGGGGGATGCACCAGATCATCTCTAAGAGTGCTTTTTGCTAATGATTCTTTGATTCTTTGACCACTGGACAAGTATTGTCTGATGGCTAACTCTTTATTCAAGGGAGGCTACTTGATTTCTTTGTTTAAAACAATGTCATTATCACTATATTTCTGAGTAATGTTCCTGAGTTTGGGAAAACAAAAACAAAACAAACATTAACAGAAATGATGGACACCTATCTCTTCCTTCTCTGGATTTCTCTATCTCAGATCTAGTAGAACCTTATGGATTTTATGAACAATTAAAAAGAACTAGAGTTAATATTTGTATAAATCCATAGCTCTTATATCGACAGAAAAGAATAATCTCTCTTTTTCCATTTTCCTCTTGCATTGAGGACTATTGAACTTGTTTGCTGAGCATTTGAATTATAGCCAGTTTTTATTGGTTTTGAGAAGACATTCAGAGCAGACTGGGAAAAGACAGTTCAAAACCCCCTTTTCCTTTTGTCTTTCTGTTATTGATTCCCTGTGATCAAAAGAACACAATCTGTAGGATTTAGATTATTTGAAATTTATTGAGGTTTGTTTTAGGATATAGTCTGTCTTGCTGAATGTCCTATAGGAGTTTGAAACAAATATGTATCCTGCTGTTGTTTCGTGGAGTATTCTACATATGTCATTTAAATTCTGTTAGTTAACTTTGTTATTTGGGTCTTTTATATCTTTGCAGGTTTTCTGACTAGTAGCTCTCTCAGCTGCTGAGAGGGGGATGATATAAGCACAAAACTATAATGGTGTGTTTGTTTATTTCTTTCAGCTCTATAGATTTTTTTCTTCATGTAAGTTGAGGCTCTGTTATTTGTTATAGACACATTAGGATTATATGTCTTCATGATGTACTAATACTTTATAATTATGTAATGCCCCTCTTTGTCACTAGTAATTTTTCTTCTCTGAAGTTTATATGATATTAATGTAACAATTCCTGTTTTTTTTTAAATTAACATTTGCATGGTACATCTTTTTTCATCCTTTTTCTTTCAAACTACCTGTGTCATTAAATTTGAAAAATTTCCTCGTAGACAGAACATTGTCTGAACATGCTTTATTTATGTATTTATTTACTTACTTACTCAATCTCTCTCTTTCTAAACTCTGTCTCTTTCTTCTCTCGCCTCTCTCTTTTTTCTCCTCTTTCTCTCCCCCGCATCCTTGCCCTCAGTCTGCTACCCCAACAAGAGAATTGGAGTGCTGCCTGTTTCTAGCAAGCAAGAGACAGAAGATCAGCCCCCTCCCCCCCCCCTTTTTTTTGTCTGCTACTCTTAGCTGATCTGGGTTAGAGGCTTCTGAAGTGCCTTGTCCAGTATGTGTGGGAGGCAATATGGAAACCAGGGAACTCCTTGCCATATCGTTCCTCAAGTCCCAAAGTCTCTAAGCAGGCTTCTTTCTTCTTTCCACATTTCAGAGTCTCCCTATGCATGTCTGCTATGTTATGTCTGGCAACTTTTAGTTGTAAGAAGGAGGGCCCAGGAGGAATGGTGCTACTTCATTTTCATGAAATTTTAAAAATTTAATTATTTTTTAGATACTCCCAAATTTTGCCATTGAAATCCTTTACAAGTCAATTCATAAGTCCTTTTGATTGTCTCCATTAGTTTTTTAACATTTTGTTACTTTCTGGCACAACAAGATGTTTCAGCTTCACCTTGCCCTTAACTTGGTGTAAAGCTCGAATTAGGCATTTTTCCAAAGTTTACTTTATAGAGACAAGATTTTTAGTGTCCATGATATGGGCACTAGATGTGCTCTTTGCTGCTGAGATGCCCCTTTTAGTGGACAAAGCAAAGAAATATAATTATTAAAAATTATTATACTGATGCCTCCCTTTCATATTCTATACCATAGGGTTTTTCTGCAACTTACCGTACTCTCTCTTCCCCCACGTGAAAAACCTGGTTCCCAACACATCAATTCAGTACTCATTTGCTCTATCATACCATACACTCCTAATATTTTCAAATTACTATATTCTTACAACTACCAAAAAAAAAATTAAAAGAAAAAGGAACGGAAAACTCCTAAATAAAATTAAAGCTATATTTGCAGTTACTTTTTCCTCCTAGAATGTATTGCACTACAGTATAACAGTTAGAGAACTATGGCCAAAATATTCGTTAATTAATTCTTTATTTTAAGTAGTTTAGTTGCCAATTTATACAAAGATGGAGTCCTTATGTTTTAATTTAAATTCAGGTTTAAGGTTTGCTTTTTAAACTTTTTAAATTTAATTTTATTTTTGATTTTGTGAATATGTAGTGTTCAAACCTCAAAGCTGTATAAAAAGTTCTACTTAAGATCTCATTCCCATACCTATACCATCTACCACATTCGCAACTAACTGTATGGAAGACTATCTTTATATGCTTCTGATTTATCCACAGTGTTTGTTTTTGCAAAAATGAGTGTATGTGAATAAATGCATATACACACAGATAATTCTGTTCCATCCTCTAATCTCATGCAAAGGTAGAATACTATATCATTTCTGCTGTTCCTTGCTAACTTCACCTAACAATATGTTTGGAATCTCAGTAAAATAGTTAATGGATACCTTTCTCATTGATTTTTATGAGAAGTTTATGACTTTTTAGTACCTCAGTTTTTTGCTACACTATTGTTTATATACAACTAGCCTCTAGTACCCAAACCTTTTCTATAATTCTAATAATTTGCTATATAAATAATGCCTCAATGTATATTGCTTCATGTTTGAGCTATATATTTAAGGTATATTTCCACAAGTAGTATGGATGGGAAAAATGGTAAATATATATACAATTTTACTATATGTTACAAAAATCTCCTTTGTAGAGGTTGTAACATGCACTCCTGTTCATTTCAAAGGACAGTGTCAGCTGATAACTAATTCAATATACTTAAAATTATAAATGTCTGTGCTAACAGAGATTTTTATCTTTTATACATGGTAGCAGCAAAAGAAATTACTTGTTATATAGCCAGAAAGTATATTTTGGATAATTGACTAATTTTGTATTTATTGGTTTAAATTATTTTTAATGTTGCCTAAATGTATATTTATGCATTTGTAAATATTAACTACTACGATCCAAATTTAGGTGGTGGGTTCAAACAGAGTCTCAGTAATGTCTGTTATTTGAGTAGTTTAAATTTAAATTCCAAGAATTTACAAGTTGATTTTATAATATTTCTTGAATATTATAGAGAAAACCATATATAATGTTGGATATGTTCTTTAAAAGTGCTGTTTAAATCTCATCTTAAAATGTACTTTGAAAAACAATCAACTGAAAAGTTTCCCATTAGAGGAGACTTTTGATTCTATTTCAGTCTCCACTGATATTTTTTTTCTCTAGAATGTGGCATTGAAGTGTAATATCTCTTTATATTTTTATTAGATGAACAAAAGCCCAAGAATCTCACCCTTGGCATTTGCTGTGATAGCTTCCTCATTGAAACACCTGCCTTCAAGCTTAATCTGAGACACACACAAGGTACAGGATTTCTACCTTAAATTCTGTCATTGTATATGCTAATATGCTATCATATTTCAGAGATGATGAAATATATCTGTTGTCTTAGTACATATTTGATAATAATTAAATATACAATTTAACATTTTTGACAAATTTTAGTAAGTAGATAGAAAAACATATATATATATTTCTTCACTGTTCTTCATTCCATACCACATAAGTACACCGTGTAAAATAGTTTAATGTCATACTACTTAATATGTATGTGAGCCAAAGAAGATTTTGGAAAATTAAAAATAACTATGAGTGTACTAAAGCTACTCATACTTAGGAAAAATAACTGCATCTTTGCAAAGCTAATGAGTCCCTGAAAATTTATTATAGGGACTACATCTATTTGTATTGATATTAATCATCCCACATGCATATTAATGATTGGGAAAAAATCTAAGGCATAATAATTGATTACGTGGCTTAAAAATCGAAAGTTCAAAAATATGAATTTGCTTAAAATATTTTTAATTACTAAATGTCTAATCATCATTAGTTATAATAAATATGTTATAATCTTAACATAATTAGTACAAAAATACCAACTGAAATCAGTAACCACCACTAACATCCCAGTACAAATGGGTTCATGACTTTCTTTTATATTTACTGTATAAAAGAATTTCTATCAGTGTCTCATTAATTCATTTCGTTGGATATTTACAACTCCACGGTGTAGGTGTTATTATTATTCTTATTGAATCAAGGAGATTGCAATTCAGAAACATTAACTTACACGAAATCAAAGTAGTTCCTTAATGGCAAAGCTGTACCTCTTGTATTTGACTTCAATGTCTTCATTTTCTGATTCTTTGCAATATATTAAAAGGAATATGAACAACAGTTCACAAAAGAGGAAGTACAGATGGCCAAAGAATGATAAAAACTATGTTCGAGGAAGTACATACTAATACTCAAGTAGATGTTGATTTAAATGATAGCCTCCTAAGCGTTTTTTTTTCCCCTCATTATTGTATATCACACTAAAGCACTAGAGAATAGGGTGCTGTTTTACAGACCTACATATGCATAAAATTAGACCTAGGACCTAGGAGGGGCAGCCAAGATTAAGAGACTAGGTGTTAGATTTGTAGTTTGAGAACCTTTGTTCTAGTTTTGACTGTAAAGTGGAAAAGCTGTTAGCTCGAGCTAGATTCTGTACTCTCTGGACCCCACATTGGATGTTATAAAAAAGTGGAAGTCAGTTTTATCTAATAGGATATATTTTTGAAGAACAAATTCAATCATGTAGGTGAAGAAAATTTTAAACTCTAACATTATATACAAGTATTGATTATTAGTATTATCTGTATAGGTAGAAATGACTAAAGACAAAGATGGATTCCTGATTTTCTGGTATTATAAGAAACAAGGCCTAGCACACTGCCAGTACATGCCAGGAAATTTATTTCTGAAAGATGAAAAAATAATAAGTTATTTTTCTTCTGAAATCCATCTTGTCATTTAGGTGAAGCAATTAGTAGACAAATGATTTTAATTGCCCATTGATGAAATAGTCTTGTTACTTTAGTGAATACCAGTTTTCTAGAAAATGATCTCTTACAGAATGGTTGATAACTATTTCTATCTTTATATTTTAAAATATCCAACTTTGTAGATATATCTGTATTTTTAAAATAAGCCACCTTTGTTCTTCATTTTGATATCCGTAATTCCTTATAAATTCTACCTTTATTCAACATTTTCATTTAAAAATATATCACTGTAAAATTTTGGCATACCGTATCATTTATATGATAATTTACTTAATACTATTTTAATGGAAAACGATGTTGTTTGCCATGAGTGATAACAGTGTACTCTGTACCAGGAATTATGTTAAGTACTTTACAAATATTAATTGATTTAAATATTAATTGATATGTTAAGTACTTTACAAATATTAATTAAGTGATAACAGTGTACTCTGTACCAGGAATTATGTTAAGTACTTTACAAATATTAATAGTCCTCACAATAAACCCTATGTTAGAGATGAGTATACTGAGACAAGTAGGAATTATGTCCAGGGTCACACCCACCATATATGCTGGAGCTTGGGTCTCAATGTAGGGCTTGTGCTCTTACCCAGCTATTCAATACTATTATAAATAGAGGACAGCTATAAAACATCCATTAATAAATAATGGGATAAAAATTTTAAATATCTGCCCAAGTTTTACTCAGAAGTATCTTAAGTGTCACTGTTAAAAAACAGTTTTCCTAAGAAGCAGTCTCTGAGAAGGAGATTAGTGTGCAGGAATTTTATTAGGGAGTGTGCCCTCAAGATCAACACCACTGAGGGAAGAGAGTGAAGCAAGACTGAACAGCAGACGAAGGTGGGGACAAAGGTGACAGCTCACACCATGGCAAGTACTGAAACTAGAGTAGCTCTTCAGAGCTGTCTCAGTTTGGGATGAGGAGGCCAGGATTTTATACTTTTATCTCTAACCACCCCCTCTTCCCTCTGTCCAGATCAATCCATCATTAAATACAATCTGCCCCAGGAAAGGAGTTTGACCTTGGTCAGGTGACTCTCTTCAGCTGAAGGCAGAGCTCCCAGAGAGCTCCTATCTAGGTATTGCATGCTGGCAATAATCTCAATAGCTTGGGGAATAGTCATGAAAATATATTTCTATTTTTACTAAGAACATTATTGGTTTTTTTCCTGATACACATCTCAATAATTTTAAATATGGTGAAATATAAGAGTCAAGGTTCATTTTATTATGTATGTCGAAATGTCCTAGCACAATTTATAGAAAAGCCATCCTTTCCTTTGTTGAATTGCAGTGGCACTTTTCTCCCAAATCAAGTGACAGAATATGTATGAGTCTGTTTCTGGACTCCTTCCATTCGAGTTGTCTATTCATCTGTCTTTGCACCAATGTCATACTGTCTTAACTACTGTGGCTATATGGCAAGTCTTGATATGTGGTAACATAAATCCTTCAAGTTTTTTCTTTCTTTGAGATTTTCTTAGTTATTCTAGATCCTTTGCACTTTCATAAGAATTTTGGAATTGGCTAGTTAATTTCCAAACACTTGCAGATACACACACAAACCCCTGCTAGGACTTTTATTTGATTAGTATTAAACCCATACATTGATTTGGGGGTAACTAGCATCTTAGAAATATTGAGTTATTGAGCCTTTCAATCTAAGAACATAACCATCTTCATTCATTTATTCAAATGGCTGTCCATTTCTTTAAGGTTTTTTTTTTTTTTAAAAGCCTATGTCATCCCCACTGATTTGACATGCTAACATTATCGTAGACTGTACTGCCATATGTACTTGGGTTCTTTCTGGGTTATCACTACTATTCCACCGATCTTTCTTTAAAGCCAAAACTCCACTGTTTTAATTAGAGAGACTTTATAATGTGTTTAACACGTGTTGAGGATAACTCACATTATTTTACTTTCCAGAGTTTAATTGGCTCTTCTTCCGTGTTTATTTAACCATATGAACTTTATAAAAAACTTGACTACCTCATGAGAAAACTTGATAGAATATTTATTGG